TATATATATATATATGTATATATATCATGTGAATTATAAAGTTTCAAGTTTTAGGTACAGTGAATAAAATTAAACACAACTATATAGTCTGATCTTATTTAGAATGTCTTCCATATTCAGATGATCTTTAGCCAAAAGCAGCCCATATACATTTTAAAATAAATAACTTACAACAGTTGTAAATATAAGATCAGAGTATAAATATCAACCATAAAGAGAGCTTTGAAATATTCTACTTTGTGTACTACATACATCTAGTAAAAGAATTAGTACAATTAGAATTTAATTGAGTAGTATATATATGTATTAACAGAATAAAAATGAAATATTGGAAGTTAGTAGTTTCTCTGGAAAACAATAAAATATATGAACACATAGACCAATGCAAAAACTTACTTGTTTTTTCTGAGCTACCATTTTGTTTTAATTGATGATTCTCTGTGAGAGCTGCAATAAAATTTGCAATTATTAAATCTTATGTGCGTTCAGAGGTTATTAATTATAGTTAAAAGAATTTGTAACGCCACATAATAACTTTTCCTCAATTTTTATATCTGTTACTTAATAATTCTCGGCCTCTTACGACTTCTGTCCACACACCAACTTAATTGGATTAGTTGAATTAATTTTTAATCGATATAAATTTTAATACAACTATTACCTTACTTGCTAGCAGGACGAAACTAAAAGAAGAGACGCAGTATGGCGGATGGCGGCAGGTCCACGTGTATCGTAACCATCTATCGGCACAGTATATACAGTAGCGCAACTCTCCCGATTTTGGCTCTGTTCGGTTATTACTGGCAGTACTGAAAAATCTATAGTATACGTGACATGAATCTATAGATTTTCAGTACTGCCAGTAAAAAACGAACGCAGCCTTTATGAAGCCAGCAATAACGCGCATGCGCGAAGTTAGCTAGTTTAAGACCTATCCACATTTAGATGTAGACGCAGACCATAGAGCTTATACTCATGGAGAGGCCCTGCGACCGCAAGGAAGATCGACAAAGAAAGATATATTTTTCTGTTTCAACTGTGGCCACTTCTTATAGAAGAGAATAACAGAGAACCATATATATAATACTTCTATATTGCTAGTACGGTGCCGACCTCAAATGTTACGGTGCAGACAATATAGTAGCCTCTCTCTCGCGTAAGATCCAGCTGCTTTGTGCGCATGCGGTGAACATTCAAGCACGCTTGGGCGTTGGGTGTGTTTAGACGAAGCTAGCGCTACGTAGCGCTAACTTCGGCTAAACACACCCATTTTTCTTTCTCGCGTTATTTCTGTCTCACTTTCCAATGCTTTGTCTCGCTCGCACTCACTTGGTAGATGCGCCTGCGCATAATGACGCTCGACTATCTATGCCCATATTTGGACTTCGTGCGTCTCCCTTTCTCGGGCCTCGTGCCTCTCATTGCGAAGATACGCAACTAGCAATATAGCGTCACGTTCGGAAACAGCACTCGTGTACACACGAGCGTCATTCTATCTTTGTTTTATATATAATGAGTAATAAAGATAAAATATACACTAGTGATGTTTCCGAACGCAGCTTAGAAGTATTATATATATGAATGCTCCCTCCTTTATCTCCATGGTGCTCTCGGTGCTAGCCGGCTCGAGTTTGCAACTATGCTTCCGTCACTACTTGTTGGACCAAACGTTACCTCTTGTTTTTTTTCCTCAATAGATTGACAACAGTACGATTGGACACCGCAAGATTAGCATACTGTACGATTAGTCCAGTCAATAGGGAAAAAATCATGCAAAAATGTTTAACCGAAATCCGATTACATTACCTTGTAGTGTGCGCTTCACTGATGAACCCCTATAGTCGTGCAACCAAAATTTTTTGTCAGCACTTGTTATAAATGATGATTGAAAGTGCTGAAAATGAGTTTTTTGCTTTTATCGAAGAAGAACTGCTAGTTAGGGAAAAAAGTTCTAAATAAAAGTTGTAGGTATTGAAAATATCTTTCGTTTAAGCTATCAATCGAATAAATCGAGCAAATATTTATCAAGATAATTGCAAAAAACACCAAAAAATGAGTGTTTTTTCACTTGTTAATAATCTTTGTAATAATTAGCACAGAGTTTCGAAATTTATCAAAAATATGGCCTTTGCTACCCTTAAAACGTATGCAAAATTTCAGACCGAAACATCGTATAGTTTGTGAATAAATGCATTTGTTTAGCTCAAACACTCTATTTTTGCACTTAATTATGTCGCTTTTTCACAATGATACAGCAACCAGCGTGATCTAGTTTTGTTCTGAAAGAGTTGTACTATTACA